ATCGAATTCTGAATCTAATTCTAGAATCTAAAATTTAGACAAATCATATTTCTCAGTTATGAATTCCCGGCGTTTAATATGAAATAAATTGTTAATATTTTATCGTATAAATTGTCGAAATGATGAAGGCGACATAATCATAGAATACCACCACAAACTCCCACAGTGTACGTGCTATATGGCTATTGAAATGTAAAGAAAGCCTAATTCAGTCAAATTCTATTTCTTGTATAATTACATTGAGCTTTATTGTAAACCAATATTCAGAATTCTTGTTAATATTTAGGTTATTAATGGAACACGATTTTTAGTAGTGGGTGAAGTCCGGTGAAATGAAAATAGCAATTACTCCGATAAATGGAGACTGTGGTTTGCCATGGAACTGTACTCGGTACTCTATTTTCTGCTGTGTCACCTTAAAATCTCGCAACCTTGGCATATTCGTGAATTGAGAAATAATCCAATCTAAAACGGTCAGTCACCTTTACATACAACATCCGGAGCGATAATAACCCACTATTTTCCTACATTACACTTTTCAAAACTTTGGTATCTGATATACAGGTTAGCCATGTTTAGATGCAATATTGCTGGTACGATTCATATGCAATACGTTATTGTAAGATAATCACGTCTCTTGTTATAACATGTGGTATACAATGAATGGGCTGCATTTCTGATGAATAATAATTATATAACATACTATACTGCGTTGATTTTCAGACTACAATAACCATATGCAATAATAAAATTGATATTTTGTGATTCGTGACACTAGTGACATTTACATGTAATAATCAAACGATTCGATTAGCCCGGGCGTCAAAGTATAGTTTTGTCACAGATTTAAACAGAATATTTTCTGTTTTATTTTGATAAATTATGTAAATTTTGTCTAAAATTACCCAAACAATACATAAAAACAGGCGAAATGTTGCACTAAAATTTGCCAAGTACGTTTATGACGCTTAATTGGTTATTGACACTAGGGATAGAGCAATACAAGTAAAAGTCACATTCTGAAACACCTTATATTCGTGCTGGTTTGTAGCTTGCTATAAAAAAAGACATGTTATGTGTGAGAAACTAACAGCACATACAGTGCTTCGGTCACCGTATAAAATTATCTCAGTATTCGGTATCTGAGACGACTGTTACTATATTGCCGTGTGATAGTGCAGTAGCCATACAATCACACATATGTTTGCATGCCATACGTAAAGTCTTGTTCTTGTTCGAGTATTACCATGTAGTAGTATTTGTTTCAAAATTGTACATTGATATAGCTATAATGTAGGATATCAAGTAATAAGGGACATAATATATGACATATATAGCGTGGTGTCTGTATACACTGTCAATGTCTAAGCCAGTATACTTACAAATATTTACCCTAAAATCCACCCTTGTGTAAATGTTAGTATATAGTTAATGACAACATATATCCCAATTATGCATACTAGTTACGTAACAATATGCGTTCGATTATGGGGAGTTCGTACCGAGTGCCACGCTTTGAAGTTATTTTCAATGTCTCAAGACTCAAGTTCGGTGTCTAAAATGTACTTGTTCCAAATAAAATGTATAGCAATTTCTAGATAATCTGTTGGGTTTATCCTTAAAAAGTATTTGCTGATGGTCCATGTTGCTATGTTACATGTGTTAAACAGAATGCTACTAATGAGACATTACGTGCACAACGGAACCATGCAATGTACATATTACAATACGTTCATCTAGATCGTTAGCATACGGCAGCTAGTTCTCAATTTAAATTGTAGACACCATGTTTCCCTACCTTTGTTCTTCTAACGATATGGTCAACGTCAGCGACGAGTTCAGTTACACTGTGTCGCGTTTGCCTCAGCTCCCGGATGTGGGTTGCTGTACGTTTCAAATTGTTTCTCTTCTGCCACGGTTACTAAAATAACCGTGCTTCCAACTAAGAGACTGCTGGATGAATGTTGCATCACTTGAGCCCTCGTACGTTCACTTTAATATGACTTTGCTGTTAACTCTCCGTTCTAATGTGTTTTTTCGGGGTCACATGACCATTTCAATTGTTTCGCAATTAGCTGATTAATCTCCATGACAATATGTATCAACACTTCATTTCAGTATTTTTCAAATTGCTCGGTCATCCATCTGAGCCTGAATAAATCGCCATGGTAACACGATTATGATAACTAACTATAATTTGTTATTGACGTTGACATAATTTATTATTAGTGCGTTACTGAGAAGTTGTACAATTATAGTGTGGTGGAAACTATTGTGTTATTTTATATCAATTGCAAGTAAAATAGCACCATTGCAAATACTTGTAATAAATCACGTGACTGGAAAGCAGATGGGCTGAGATAAGCGTCAATGATGTCGATGCTATAGGGTAATAGGTCCGCGCAATCATCGCAATCATATTGGAAAGTCAGACTTGAAAGGACTATTTATTGTCGGTGCATCAACTAGATGCAAAAACGTAAATTCAGCGCTCAAGCCGATCCATGCATCTTCAGCTATCCGATACCTTCGCATTATATTTCTAGGACAGAGTCGTAACGATGTGAAATAAATTGATTTCTTTTTTTGACTCGCCTTCGACGAGTTTGTGTAAACTTATGTCAGGTACCTCTATCGATGGCCCTTGTTCTCCTTGGTTGACTTATCAATTTAGCTTCATAAAAACGATATACGTTTCTCGCACCTTTCACTTCTGGTACCGTTCAAATCACATTTAAAATTATGTATGTATGTGATTATTTATAAACACACGAATTATTCGCTGAGTTGCAGTCGGCATAACGGGCCAATCACAGCACAGAAACTACAATAATGAAGGTTCTTAACAATATTCAAACGCACTCAATTTAAAAAGGACGTTGTGTTGGCCACTGCATGCTGCATTCGATTCTTTGGATAAGTCCGTTCTAACTCACTGTCACCGACTGCGTTTTGCAATTACCTGGCACATTTATACAATGGTTTATTTCCTATCAATCATTCAATATCTCCTTTGACTCTTTTCTCGTCAACATTGTCGCCATCTAATTTGTGTATCGGTGCGCTAAAGAACCCATCCTGTTTACACTGTACACCGCCCTCTTGTGGCGACATATTTACTCTTCATACATTTATGTTATACTTTATGTCGACGATTCTAAGCTATATATGCTATGTTATAAACCATTTGATTCAATAAATCCGCTAGAGAAGTGTATTACGCGCACCAGTGTACCATGTATTTCTATAGGCTCTGCGCGAGCTCTATGTGCCCTCTACGAGATCACAAGTGTGTCCTCTCTCCTTCTACGAGATCACAAGTGCGCCCTCTATGTTGCAAAACGAATCTGTTTTTTTAAGGTAGAAGCCTGGTCATAATTTTTGACAAAATTGATCATAACTCGCATGACAATGTTCATTAGTTTATTATGTACAATCATGAAGCTAATGGCTCATGGTACAATGAAATAGCATTAATTTGTTATGCTTTTTGAGAAACGTGTCCTAATATTTCTTGAAAATTGCTATTTTTAGAACAATTCCATAAAACACAATGTTAAAGAAAAATTTCATTTTTTGACACTTTTTAAAACCAGGATTTTTTAAATAATTCAGAACAACAAAAGTACTCCATCTTTAACAAGGCTACATTTTGAGATATTGCATAATATCTCTGCCATAGAAACCTGTGGTAAAAGTGTTATAATAGTGTCAAAATGGCGATTTTCCACTGAAATACAACCATCAATTTCTCGAAAAAAAAACTGGTGACCCCCAACTTTTTTTAGATCAATATCCTTAAATTGCCTTGGAGTACAATTTATTGCAAAATAAATAAATTCTGGGTTTTTTAATTTATGAGTAAGTGTGGACAACTATGACGCGAGTATTAGGATCACAAGTGCGCCCTCTATTTTATAAAGCGAATCTTGTTAGTGAATATGTCTTTGAGTAAGTGTGGTCCAAATATACGAGTATTGGTATCACAAGGGCACTTTCGTTCTATCCCCGTTCACTATATCAGAAAGAAAGCAACTTCCAATAATGTCTTTTGATTCTATGTATATGTCATGAATTTGTTTTTGCGTATCTGTTAACCGACTTAATTAGCTGATTATTAGCGAATTGCTGTGTTATGTCTGTCATCGTTTAGGCCTATTTGAAGTTTTGGACGGAACTTGGCTCAGTGATTTGGAACTAATTACCAGATAAGCGCCGCTATTCAGACTACTCATTTTGACAGTTTATATTCATAGTTATTAATGTAGTGAACGATTAATCAAAAGATATGACGTATTCAGTACTTAGTGTGATTGGCTTTATGATTGAAGGTTACGCCCTAGAGTCTTTTACTGTTTTGTAATTGGTTAGAGTTTTGAAAATGAATAAAGAGAGTTTGAGTTGGTCTTGGCGAATACTCCACGACAGACGCAGTCGAGAGTCCAGTCCAGGGGCGAGCCTTGAGGCAGTCCAGTCTTGGGCGAGTCTTGGCACAGCCTTGAGATAGTCTTGGGGATTTTTTCCCCAGGGCGCTGTAAGGCGTAAGTGACTTTCCCGATCCCGTACCTCAAGGGGACGAGATAGAGAGACGAGACGAGTTTTCCCCCTGGCAAGTGTGGAGAACCCAGAGGAAAAGAATTTACCCCTGACATATATATGATATTGTAAAATCTGATAAACTCGTGCACGTTGAAGATTTACTAATTTTCTGAGTAAATCTTGTAAAATAAAAAGTGATCTACAAAAAAATGTAATGTGCTCTCAGTATACGTACCCATTTCGCGAAACGACGAACTAAGCTGTGAAAACCATCATAGGTCTTACCATGATAAGATGCGACTCACTAATGAACATCCCACTAACACGCACCGCTGCGATTCTGAACTGTCATCAACTCTAGTAAATAGTGTTCGGGCTTTGTGACCTCCAATTATTATATTGTTATATTATTGGTGACTACTGAATATACGAAATTATGAAAAGAAAAGACAGAAAATGTGCATGCTAAGATTTTTTTTTATTGCCGAAGTTGATTCCAATTGTTGAGCGAGTCAATTCAGTATATTGTGCTACAATACCATTTCAAGTACAATGTAACAGTATATTAAGTACAATAGCCATACATCAATGTGCTCCACAAACCATGGCATTTGTACACCAAGAACGAGTTTACATTGTACGCACTTTGTGGAATCGTAAACATAATATTTAAAAATGTACAAGCAACTATATCTAACTATAGGCTGTCATACTATCTTACGTTTATGCATATTAATTTATGTTTTTGCATATTAATTCATGTTTATGCATATTAACAGTTATGCAGTAGAGGGGTGCCATAGGCAAGTAGATTAACCGATTCAGTCCATGCTTCTACGTTGATCAGTGCGCCATCAGTGGCATCTTCTAAAATTTTATCCAGCATAGCGGAATGGTTTAATGTGTCATTAACACCCAGCAAAGAAGCACACAGGCCTGCAATACAAATAATTACATTATTTAAGATATTGTGGAACGAGGTTGAATTCTAAGAAACGGGTTTGGAAATTTATGGAACGAGGTTTTGTATTTCATGGAAAGAGGCTGCAATATGAGAAGGAGGCTGAAATTTATGAAACGAGGTTGAAGTTTAAAAAACGAGGTTTTGAAATTATGGTAAGAGGTTGAAATTTAAGGAACGTAGTTTTGAAATTTAAAGAACGAGGTTTTGAAATTTATGAAACGAGGTTGAAATTATGAAACGAGGTTTAAATCTATGAAACGGAGTTGGAATTTTATGGAACGAGATTTGAATTTATGGAACGAGGCTGAAATATTAAAACGATGTTTAAATTTATGAGACGAGGATGAAATGGTGGAATGAGATGGAAATGATGATGTCTTGTACAAACAATAATGTATTTATTATATCTAATCTACGTAATACAACACAATGACATCCCGCAAGTGTCACTTTGAACATAATACACTGATATTGATAATAACATACCTGCTACCAAAGGTGCTGAGAAGGAGGTTCCCGACCTTAAAACCACCTCGGTGTCACCGGTATGAGACGCAGACGGTAGAGCATACCCCGGAGCGTACAAGTCCACAGCGTACCCAATATTAGAAAATCCACATATTTTGTCCTTCTTCGAAGATGCACCGACAGTAATAACCTAAAATATATCACAGCGTGTGTCTTTAAATTGAGGTTACATTTTCTAAATATTGTTGTCATATTTGTCAAAATTGTGGTGAGGAAAAGTGCCAATTACGCATCTGATGAAATATTACGATTTACGTTTCCCATAATTAGCCGCAATATTGATTGTATATATCGCAGCAGCTTTTTGAGAACAAGAAAATGTGACCATATTGCATCGACTTTTGGTTAATCTAGCGTCCAGAGAAGGATCGGATAAAATAGTTTAGTTCGTATACCCTCAACAGCCAGGCCCAAATAATATTAACGAAATGTGAAATCTTCAGTTGTATTATAATAGTCAAATGCCAAGTCATGTGACCAAATGAGCCGATAATTCATTCGAAAAAGTCATTGTTTAGAAAAGCATATAATTTATAATGCTTCTTTCTTTGTTACAATTGTAATTTATGCCATGTGCTCTTGATCAGTTATTACTGTAAATACTGTAATACAAGTAAATAGTGTAATACAAGTAAATACTGTAATACAAGTAAAGAAATTGTTATACTTAAATCAATACTACATGCTTGGAAATTGTCACGTGTCATCAATGTTCACTTTGACATTGTTAGTAAGGTACATCAATGTTCACCTGCTCAACTTTCATAACCATGTACGGGTAATACAGTGAGAAGCATAAAACTGTGCCTCTTAGTTAATAATTAATTACAAATTATAAATCTCGATCATCATGGGCGCGCATGCCTTATGTGACATAACACCTTTGACCGGTCACTTACTTTGTTCTAACTCATTAAATATTAATTAGTACTAACGGTGATGTCACAATACCACTTCTTGATTGGTCAATTTGAATTCTAACATCTATTTTGATTTATGAAAATGTTCGTTTAAAAAGCATTTTTAACGTTTCCAGTTCAATGTTCTTCACTGTATGTGTTGAACATTTTACGAGAAGCGAACTCATTTCGTACGATCGAACGTAGTCCCAACAGCGTCACAAAGCGCAGTCAACGATAAGAAAAGTTTGACTGCGTAAACGAAAATGAGCGAAATTATCGTCGTAATCAAGCACACAAAACACAAGTACTGTACGCTTTTCACATATCGAGTTAGGGGGTAAGAGAAAGTTAAACGAAACAAAAAAGTATGTTGCTCGTAAATTACAATTTTAGCGTGGTTTTGCAATAGAGGGCGTGGTTTCTAAAACATGAGCTTAACTTGAACAATTCAGCATACCCATTAGCATTAGTATTGGCAGAAATGTATGTATGTTGTGGAAGTATATGATCATATCATAATAACTCGCCTATAACACATTTGCATACTATCTTCATCTATTTCATATGAATATATCTCTGCCACCACACGATCTTTGTTATGTTCGTTGTTGATTTGCCGATGCATCACAGTGGTACTACTTTCAAAGCTACCAACCAACATAATAGATTATGGTTGTTTTCAAAGTAAGAACCTCACTTGTTATTTTCAATAGCACAGACCGAGTGGCAGTGGGCGAACCAGGCGTCAATACTACGTGTGCTTTCAATTGTTTATATACATATATGCCTTGCAGTTGACAGAACGGTAAGCTTGACAAACAGAGTTCATTGCTTTCAGAAAAGCCACGGATTATGAACATGAAACATTTATGAATTTGAAAATTTGATTGGCTTTGTGGCTCATCGTGGAACTACGCGTGAATTGTTATAGCGTTTCACCACAAAATGGTGGTGTGTGGTTGCAAAGAACTCTGGGAAGGAGAATGACTAGTATATACCACCATTTTATACATCTATGTTAATAGTAAATAAATAACAATCACGAAACTTACAAACCCACTTGACGCTGGAAGATAATATTCTGCAAAGTCCGCATCGTTGCCTGCACCTGTTACTAAAATATGGCCGGCATTAACAGCTTGGGTAGCTAAAGCGTTGAAACTGGTTATCCAGGGTACATATTCATCGTCGTATGCTGGCGCAAAAGCTGTGACAGACATAACAATAATACCTGGAGGACTACCTGAATCCAATATGGCTGTTATTGCTGAAATGAAACACACCACTCCAGACAATGAGTCATATACTCCCCAAATAAAGTGAATGAGGATATAACAAGGATACTAAAAAGTATGCACGAAAGCAGAACGGTGTTCTATGGTGTGATGCGTAGCGGAGGTCGATACGTTACCGTACCATCTCAGTGCAAACTTTATGGCAGGAAAGATCACCATTTAAATAGCCGACTAGACTACCTTGAATTAAAACGCTAACTATCCTAGAAATTGTGAATGATTTAATCTTCAAACATGCCAAGGGCCTGGGATGTGTTTTTCATACGCAAAAATGTTTAAGTTAGAATGCTACTACATGTATATATATGTGCGCACATTTTAGCGCATATAGCAGTAGCAATATTTATGTCAAAATATGTCCTCAATTATTCGGTAAAATAATATGCATAAAATAACATTTGAGTAGTAGTTACCATAGATCACACCGAAAAGACATTTACTCGTTAAAAATTCACTAAAATATTGTCACTTGTTTAACACTTTTAGGCAATCAAACGGTACCTTGTAAGACACTAAATATATTTTTCCATCGATGCGATAAACATGGTGCGCAGGAACTGATGACGACATTGCTTAAGCGAATATCTTGGCACTAAACGTCATCACTATGATTGTTCATGTGACATGTCATTGATGAATTGTAATTTGTCAATTTATATTATATTTACCATATTCCAGGTGACTTAGGTATGTGCCATCTACACAGTTGAATATCCTTACATCAAACAGAGAAGCTTGATTTGAAACGCCGTAACTGCCGCCCGCGGCAACAGACGCTACCGCAGTGCCGTGGCCCAAGCAGTCGGTTCCAAATCCCTGCAAACACAAGCAATGTATTGAAAATCCCATTCAAGTAAATTATTTCACGCCCCCTGAGCGACACGTACCAAACTAGTGTATAAAACAGAGCAATGTCTCGAATATACAGATCATTGGGAACTTAGAAAGTATATAGCTTGCCGTAACCATGGCAGCGTAACGTAATGTAACGTGTTTAGACCGTTAGTTAACTATTACAGGGTTGTGGGTTGTTTACAATATATGTATCTTTCATTTAAAGATGCAACAAGGGTGAGAATATTCCATTTTTAATTCTGTTTGTCGGTACTGTATGTTGGTGAATACATTGGATTATGATTTCACATGAACTAAAAAGTTGAAGCTCATGCCAAATCACCGTTCGAGGAAACCATGAAAGTCTACGTATAATTACGCACACTAGCAATCATCGCTCATGCCTATTAAAAGTTTGTATTACTCATCGAATGAATACAGTGTGCTTCAAAAGTGAAAAGCCAGTTAGTGTACAATAAATCATACTCGAATTTGGTTCTCAAAATTGCACATCTAATGACATCGTTAAAAGTACGTTTTCATTTGTATTGTGAAACCTAACAAACTCAAATCGTTTTGAAAATGTAGCGTCACATGGTGATATTTCTAAACTATTAATATACATTTATGAGATTGAAAAGCCTGTCCAGCAGTTGAAATAACACCCGGTGTAAATTCTCTCTTACCGCTCCTCCAATGATATCCTCGAGATGTACCACTCTGCTAACGCCATTTCTTTGGAAATCTACATGCGTATCCCGAATTCCACTGTCTATCACATATATGTTTACATCGCGACCACGGCAACCTAAAGAAACAAATGATTACATGATAATGAATTCATATTTACAATAATGTATTCTATTGTGATTGGAGGAACCTTACAAAAATACATTTTCTGATCGTGCGAAATATTATTTTTGACAAAATTTTGGATATACAGATTTTCGGTACAAAAATACATTTTCTGATCGTGCGAAATATTATTTTTGACAACATTTTGGATATACAGATTTTCGGTACAACATCGGAATCTACTTAAGTCATGAACATAAATGATAAACCATTTTAAAACTTACATTTATTTCCGAAGGAAAAAGCTCCATCCAGTGGTAATGCGCGTTGGTTTATTCGGTCCAGATGCCATGGCACGTCATCTGTTGGCGTCATTACAACATCTGGGTTCCCTTGAGGAGGATCCAGACGGATATCCTTAACAACCACCTCCACATCGTCGTGTGTTTTGACCTACGAAAGGTTAAAAAAGAGGTCAACATCTACTAACTGAAAACAAAATCTCACAATATATCTTTTGAACAAGGATTTGATAATGAATGACAGTGTATATTCACCATGGAAACAAGAAGGAGATTGAAAGTGTTCGTCATTTGGTTTAATTGTTATGGTATGTGTAATATTGGTCTATTTTAGAACATGTTAGGTTAGACTATATTGGTATGTATTAGATTGGTCTATTTTAGAATATGTTAGACTAGAATATATTGGTATGTGTTAAATAGGTTCAGTATATTGGTGTGTTACTAGTATTGCACTCAAGTACGTATTTCAAGTTATTCTCCGGCTGACATCCGGGCATTTTATCGCTTGGCAACAATCTCTAGTGAAAACTAAAGCCGAAACCTCTTAGAAAACTGTACTTGGGGATAGTTGTTGAGACTCTCAACATATCTAAATTTGGTTGCGCAGGGTTACCTCAAAGTTGAGTTTGTGCTGTTTTTTCTTCGACTTTATTTGTTTAGACAGGCTCTTCGACTGGCGTTCCACAGCAGCAACGGTCAAAAAACTGTATTTTGAGCTCGTTGCTGACACGCTTCTGAACGATGTAAAAAGATTATATAAATTTTGTTGTTCATGATTGTCTCGTAGTTGATTGTGTGCGACCGGCCTTCCACGGCAGCTCGTAGTGCACCCATAGAAACACACTGCACAGTGATGCGCGTCCAACCAACTTAAACAGTTATATGACGTAGCTCTGCCCAAGACTTTGGTTGTACTCACCATATCAAGAGCCGTCAAATCCATTTCTACCACCATAGTGTTCCGTTTCCTTGATTCCATGGTTCGTCTAAATGTGTGTCCTTTCAATTCGGCTTCACTAGCTAGCGTATCATGGACATGACGTACGTCCTTCCCCTCCTGAAACCAACAAATCAAATACGACTGTATTCGTGCACAGTGGGAAACGTAGTCAACAGAAATACAGCAATAAAATACGTTCGATTCGCGAAGATGGTGGTTTTCAAGCTGATCTAAAATACTGAATTAAGAGGAAGAATGAGACGTTGTACTACTATTGCTTGCAGTCACACTAGAATAATGTTAAGTCTCGAATAAAATATATTTGATTGTCATAATAAACATCATTTAAAGGGCGGTGGTCGGCGCGCCGCGTCCTGTTCGATATGGGACTCATGGCGAGGTACACAACGCGTGTAAAACACATTATTTGTTTACATAAAATCCAAACACACGCTGCGCGACAACCACCGTCCTTTATGCTTTTTGATAATGTTTACGTAGTTATAACGCAATGGTTATCGGATAAATTAAAGCGAGGAGGAATCGTCACCTGCGCATGAGCTTTTGTGTTTTTAGCGTGTGTTGTTATCGTCGTCTGGGACTCAATTCCCGCGCGTACGCAGTTGACGACCCTTCTGTTTTGAAACAAGTACGATACGAGGTGTAAACATTGGTTAAAGTGACAATTATGTGTATTTACCTTCAATCGTACAACATATCGGTTGTGATCTTGGTTTGCGACTTTCGGTAGTGTTCTTGCAGGATGTCGTACACAGAACGACGTAGTGAGCAGGCAAAGACAACAAAGTAGTGCGACCAATCCTCGCATTTTCGACTTCATTGAATCAGATATACAAATGTCAACTTTATTGATTCGAGTGTTTTAGTTAAATGGTGACCGTTTTTAAAAACTGAAAGATTGTATTTGTTATGGTTTAAAATATAACTTCTAACATCAACAATGATAATTTGTTTAAAGCTCTAATATCAAGTTATGGAAAATACCAATAAAGCTAGTCACGTGAATATAAACACGTGAACGAAATATTTTGTTCAATTAAAATATAATTTATCCTGGTAAATACTAATGTTAAATGTAGCTTACATATCTACTACTCATTTTAAGTCAACTCGAATAAAATCTTTACAGACATACAGTCCATATTGGATATAACTTTAAATAGTTTGTGAAATAAAGGAAACAGATTAAACGCCGTGGGAGAAATATCTGAAAGCATTCTTAATATTGAAACGTATTACTTGGAGATGACTGAAGAGTTTTCCCGAAGGAATCGGGTAACCCAACGTCCGAATGAATCGGGTAACCCAACGTCCGAATGAATCGGGTAACCCAACGTCCGAAGGAAGAGGGTAAAAGCAGTAGTCAATCCAAATCTAACATACCTTAGTAATGGTTCAGCCTCAGTAACAACACTTCCGACTCACGAATGGCAAGTTTGTCGTATCAACATAAAATGCTGTTAATATAGATCCTTGGGAACAATGAATGCGATATGTCCATTGTATGACCCACACAATTGTGAATATGATATATGACTTGTACTACGGTCACACAAAACACTGAGTATTGTGTATGTGGTGTCTTCAATGGGTAGTGAGTGATGGTATGTACACTTCCGTAAAGTACATATGTTGATAATGTGTATGTTTTGTTAAATACTAAATCACGCATTATGATTAGACATCTAAGTAAGGGTAATGCAATATGGTCTCGTTTAATGTAAATAAGCGACAATTAATAACGACACATAAAATGAAATATGGTAAATTTGCACCAAGTACAATTTTTCGAAATTGAATATACACAGTCCCTATGTAGGTATATGTAACAACAGCATACGACATAATATCCATTTCGACTGAATCTGGAAGGTAATATTACTGGAAGGCGCATTACTCGTAATGGAAAAAAAAGCGGAAGGTCCAACTTAACCACCCCGACAAGAACGATTACTCTGTCAGGGAAAACTGGTCGCCATACATGCCTATATGTTTTTCCAGATGTCCACCAGTTGCTGGTTATAAAATTTTATCAGTAAAACCGAATCATCTTGAATACCACGTTCGTTCGTTTCTATGCAGAAAAATACAGTATTTTTATCAAGTAAAATCGTATTAAAGTTATTGTTCTTACATAATTGTTGAACACACTACACAGTTCGTAATATCTTTCAGCTTTCTTTTTAATCAATGATGAAAAACAAATAAAATGTAAAAATATGGATATATATATATATAATGTTTATAAAAAAATATTGGTGTGCATATGAAATACAGTTTATTTTGAAATATCTGGATATCACTTTGGTTGATGTTTTCGGGTTATAACATTTTGAAAATGTGATCTGGATTTTTGATTCGGTGGTAGCAATCTGTGAATTCAGTCAAAATAATATTGTGTTTCATAAATTACCCAAAGTATAACGTTCAGCTAAACACTATGCATTGCCATTTAACTGGGCTGCAAATACAGGTATGCCACCCAATCTGTGTTTTGGAATAGTAATACTGATTGACACATCTTAATGTACTTCAATTAGTGATGAATATTAATTAGCAGCCATGTACCTTTAGACATCCTTTAATATGCGTTAGTCACAAAGACAGCGAGATAATGTTGTAACTGTGGGCACGTCAAACTGGTCTTTGAAGTAAATATGTTATTTATGCAATGTTGCTGAACTGATACTGGATAGCACTACTCTATTGGCACTCTGTACATGCCATAAATTGTTATAAATACGATATAAGGTATATATGAAGCATATTGTACGTTTCCATTCAACATTAAATTGTAATCATGTGTTTATATATCCCCCACTTCATCATACAATCGATAACGATAGAACATTTACGAGGAGTGTTACTTTGAACAATCTGGACTGAAAGAAATCAGAGTCTGTTGTTTTTCATTGATTCCATTTGATATATCTCTCTCCACACCAACAATGTTTGTATTATTCATAATTGATATCATTTAAAATATACAACATATGGTCTCAAATGAGGTACACGAATGATGACTACTTAAATGTAAGCTGCCACAATTTAAATCGCTTTGGCATATTTTCATATATTTCAAGTGTTCATAAGTGTTTTGTTTTCTTTATCTTTTTCCTGTTTTCTTCATCAAAATCCAGACGAGGATACGAGAGCCCTTGTTTTATTATAAATAGAATAAAGCACCTTTTAATCGTGATTGAATAGTTGTGAATGGACCGTTCCACAGAAACATCCCATATGTAAAGTGAA